ATTTTTAATATTATATATTGTATATATAAAATTCTATCTGTTTATAAAGAACAGAGGTGTCTATGAGCTTAATTCTCAAAATAGTAATAGAAATAATGAATTGTGCAGTGCTTTATAGCTTTGCAAAGTAGCATTACAAGTATTATTTCATTTAACTCTCACAACCTTGTGTGTTATACAGGACAGGTCAGACATTCTACCTGTCCCTGCTGCCCAGTAAATGTCATAACTTCGCCTAAAGCTATATTCTTCTGGAATTGTAACTTTTAACCTGATTAATTACTCTAATCTCTATCCATCAGAATGTCCCAATGGTATATAAGAGGAAATTAAAATTCAAAGAGGTTGACTTACCTAGAACCACACAGGGTGTTGTGTGGCTCCTTAATCACCGAATCCTTTGTCTCCCCAAAGGGTGGCAAAATGGTATAGCCTCTCAGTTTCATTAAAGTCAACATATCCAAAATTGAATTCTTTGTGTTCACCACAAATCTTATTTTTTCTTTATTTTTTCCTCCTCAACCTCACTCAGAATCTAGACACAAAAGAAAAATAAGCACACAATAAAAATTTGCTGTTGTTGGTCTTTTCAGTTTGGGGAATTTCTCCACACTCTACTTTTTTTTTTTTTTTTAAGTTTCTTTTTATTATTGTTATTGTACTTTAGATGAAGGTTTACAGAACAAACTAGCTTCTCAATAAACAGTTAGTACACATATTGTTTTACGACACTGGTTAACAGCCCCACGACGTGTCAACACTCTCCCTTCTCGACCTTGGCTTCCCTGTTACCAGATTTCCTGTCACCTCTTGCCCCCACCATCTGGGCTAGTTTGCCCCTTTAGTCTTGTTTTGTTTTATGGGCCTGTCTAATCTTTGGATGCATGTGCCTTATTTTTTGATAGGTGGATCACATGTATTATTTCATTTAGTAGTCCTAACAATTCTTTGCTCTAGGTATTATTGATATCCCAATTTTATATAAGAGGAAATTAAAGTTCAAAGATGTTAATTTACCTAGAATGACACAGTGTGTGTGACTCCTTAATCACCAAATCCTTTGCCTCCCCAAAGGGTGACAAAAGGGCACAGCCTCTGAATCTCATTAATTTGACAAATAGATAGGTCAACAGAATGTGAGAGAAAAAGAAATGCATGAAAATAGTGCCACACGATGTATACCCTTGTAGCCTATTCTCACTTTTCCTAAAGTAGTAATTACAAGATGGGATTGAGTTCCTTGTTAATAGAAGTTAAAGGTTAAAAATAACACTATTTCCATTATTTATTTTTTTGTTAGGGAAATTGTGCCTCTTTAACATCACTTTATAATTATTTGACTTGTGAATATCCAATAATTTCAACTTCTGCAATGCATCTTTCAATAGCATTTCAAATGTAAAATAGTTTTTAGCAGGGGTATTGATAAACACTCCAAGTGTCATTTTGTATAATGCAGTGAAGGGTGCAGGAGTGTAAAAGGGATTTCTAACCTTACCAAGTTATCATAAGAAAATCCTCCATTTTTTTTAACTTTCTGTCCTTTTTTCCATATGGCTGATCATTATTGTGAATGCTATTCTCCATTTATTTTCCTCCAGTGAAAAACTAACATATTCTGAACACTTTCCCACATAAATACTTTTCTACAGCATGAGTTCCCATGGTTGCAAAATTTTACATCTTTGGAATATACCTTAATTTGCTCAACCAATAACTTTTGCAGATGAGCATTATAAATATGTTGTTTCCAAACTGGAACTATTATAAATAAAACTGAGATTAAAAAAAAATACTTGTACATAAGTCTGTATGCAAGTAAGAGAGAGCCCAGATCAATAAAACTGAGGCACACACACAAAAAAAAAAAGGCCATAAAAACTGAAAATTCCAGGTTAAGCACTTCAGAAACGACTGTATGCAAGTTCTCAAATTATGCCACCAATAATGTTTCACCTGGCTCTTCTTTGCTCTATGTTGGTTTTATTCTGAAGCAGGCTCTGGCTAAACTGGTAGCAAAGACAGCCACCAGGAACCTCAGATTTTATGTCTTGCTGTATTTGTTTCCAATAGCTGCTGTAACAAATTACCACAAACCTAGTGGTTTAAACAATACAGATTAATTATCTTACAGTTCTGGAGGTCAGAAGTCTCACTGTACTAAAATCAAGGTGTCAGCAGGGCTACATTCCTTCTGGCAGAAACCCTGAGCCTTTTCCAGCTTCTAGAGACTTCATGTATTCCTGGGGTTATGACCTGCTTCCATCTTCAAAATCAGCAAGTCCATCTTCAAGACCAGCAACTGCATCACTGCTTCCATAGTCACATCTCCTACTCTGACTCTGGCCTTCCTGTTTCCCTCTTATAAGGACCCTTATGATTATTATATTGGGCTCATCCAGATATTCTGGTAGAATTTCCCCATCTCAAGACCCTTAACTTATCACATCAGCAAAATCCCTTTTGTCGTGTAAGGTAGCATATCCACAGGTTCTGGGGATTGGGACATGGATATCTTTGAGAGACCGTTAGTCCACCTACCACATCTGCCAACTTAACTCCAGTGGAAGGGACAGGTTTCTTTCCCAGTGATTCCAGAAAGCACTCTGGGGCTGACTTTGCTTGGACTAACTTGTTTAGAACTGGGAAATGAGTAGTGGTGGTTCCTTAAGGCAAAGCCAAGATGCTGCTAGAAGATGAATGAATAATGGATAGGTAAAAATAACAGAAAATCACACTATTAGTTTTCTTTCAAACTCCTTTTGTCACCAAAAGCAACAATAAATCTACATATTAATTCTCATAAAATAATTATTTTAATTACCCAAATCTACATTTCAACAGAGCAAGCAAAGAGCAATGAATAAAATTGTTTTACTAAAATTTAGAAGTTCTGTTGACCAGAAGTTCAACGCAGAAAGTTAGTTATTCAAAATTCGTTCAATGTGCTCACCAGTAGAGAAAAGGATTTATAAGAACTCTTTAATGGTAAATTTAGCCCAGGGATGTGCCAAAGTGCATGCTTAGTAAACTGAAAGTGAAGAATAAGAGACAGCCTGATATAATTAGCGTTGCCAAATCTGACGTTATACTCTAAAACTAAAACTCAGAAAAAGCTCAAAGGCAGAAATATGGAAAAGCCAGGACAGAATCATTCTAAATCATAGAAACGATTTAGATATAAGGTTGAGCATTTCAGTTGTAGTTATAAGTTTTATTTAACCAATTCATACAAATCCTCGCTTGTTATGAGTAACGGTTCATCTGAATGTCTCTTAAAAGCAAAGAGAGAGAGCTAAAAGTAAGAAGGCAAAAACATGACAGACAATTAAAACCACAGTGAAGATTTCATGTTGGTGACAACGTACCTATTGTTGAGGTTGCCATGAGCTGAAAGCAACTCTAGAGCAATGGGTTCATTTTTTGTTTTGGGGGGGTTTTGTTGTTGTTGTTGTTGTCAAGGTTTCCAACAGGGTTTGGGAATATATTGAAGAAGTGAGGCAGGTAAGAAAATCCAAGAATATGATCAGCATTTAATGAAAACAATCAAAGGGAAGGAAAGAGCAAAAGAAAAGTTGCTTAAAGCATCACAGAAATTCAAAGATGAAGAATTAAAGCAGAAATAAATGTGGCAGGCAACTTGTCCAAAGCAAGGTCTTGGAAGCTCCTTAGATCCATACAAATTCCCTGAGGGACCAAATAGCTGAGCTGAGGGCTGTGGGGACCGTGGTCTCGGGAACATCTAGCTCAATTGGCATGATATAGTTTATAAAGAAAATGTTCTACATTCTACTTCAGTGAGTAGCATCTGGGGTCTTAAAAGCTTGTGAGTGGCCATCAAGATACTCCACTGGTCTCACCCCACTGGGAGCAAGGGAGAATGGTGAAAGCCAAGGACACGGGGGAAGCACTGGCCTGGGGGACTAGGGGACCATGACCGCTGCATCCTCCACCAGACTAAGTCCAGCGCAGCTAGATGGTGTCTGGCTGCCACGACTGACTGCTCTGACAGGGATTGCAACAGAGGGTCCTGGGCAGAGCTAGAGAAAAACATAGAACAAAATTCTAACTCACAAAAAAAAAGACCAGACTTACTGGCCTGACAGAGACTGGAGAAACCCTGAGAGTATGGCCCCGGGACACCCTTTTAACTCAATAATGAAGTTATTCCTGAGGTTTGCCCTTCTCCCAGGAATTGGACAAGCCCATAAAAAAAGAAGGAAAGAAAAATGTGGCAGGAATGCTGAAGGAGAATGAGGATAAATGTTTAAGAAGTTAAGAAATGTTGGCAAAGACAAGTTAAAGGATGCAGGAAAGAATGTCCTGGGGGGAAAAAAAATCAAAATGTTACATGCTATTTACATTCAAGCACAGATAAGAAACATTATGACAGCTGAAAAGAAATACGTGGGGTGCTTTAAGGTTTTATGATGATCATAGAGTTTCACCGTCTAATCTATATTAAATAAACCACAAGTTGTCTTTAAAACCATTCTGGATATATTGTAGGAAAAGTAGAATCAAGCATCTTGGCATAGAAAAAGAGAAATAATTACCTGTAACTTAGACCAAGTGGCATTCAGTTGTAGAAGGCTCTCGGGCATTGCAATATTCAGTATATTTTTGAGGGGAGGGTGGGAAAAAGATATACTAAGCTCATGTAAAGATCCTGCAAGCAATACTGCATATACTTATATTAAATGAAGAAACAGAATTCTGTTCCTCTCAGAGAGGCCATCTCAAGATAATTCCCTTATTCCACCCTCCCTACTATC